GTGGAGCACCCACTTCCCCCAGTAATGCAGGCTCTAAACCCGAGGCCTCTAGCAGCCTTGTTTTAATTCACAGATCTCGACTACAGCTGAAGCAGAGGAGGGATCTACCACAAGACAAAGAGCAGAGGGATGCTCTGAGCTCTCGCAGAAATATCCTGCAGTTGCTCCATACAGGAGCATCGCCCCCATGCTGCTCTCAGAGCATTCCCCCAGTGAGAGATCTTGAACCCATTGCATTTGTTCTCAGTCACAAGACCGTACAGACCTTCCCTGGCATGGCAAGCTATTTCTGATCTAAATCTTCATTGAGATTGCTACCCAGGGTGAGAGAAGGAAGTTAATGTATCGTCCTGAAGGCCACACCAAAATAAGGAAGAGTCCCAGCAGACCTGTTCACGTGGTGCGCAAGGAAAGCTGAAGATAAGGCTAACAGCAGAGAAAGATCACCAATCCTCCATTTGTGTTAAGGTACAAAAAAATTCTTAGGCTTCATGGACTGTTTCAACTTGCTATGAACCACGCTGCTCTCTTCCACAGATTTTGGCAAAATCCAGGCTTGGAAATTGACTCTTCTGATGACTGATTAGTCACAGTGTCAGATAGCTTAGCACCACACGAGTGAAACCCCTGGGAAGTGCTTTGCCTCAAACTGTGATGCTACAGATGGAAATCCTTAACAAGCCTCCCAAAAATGGAATCAGCACAGATCTCCATTTCCATTTCCACCTCCATCACTGCTTCCCATCCCAGGAAGATGCTACCCCACAACTCTGACCCACGTGAGTTTTAAGGTGAAAGGGGATCACACCTGACAGGCTCATCCATTTCAGCGCTGCTCACTGCAGTTTACAGAGGCACTCCAGAGGTCTGATTACAGTTCATATTTATTTATGCTGGCTTTAAGCCACCTGGGTGCTCGTGTCCAAAGCCAAGAGGATGCCTGCCTTGCCTTGGCTGCCTACACAGCACAGAGAGCCAAGTCTTCCAGGTGGAAATCTTCCCCAGTTAGAAACATCAAGTCTGGCCACTGCAGAAAAACATTTAAAAAGACTTTGGTCACAGCTATAAATTGGGATCCTTCTCTAAGAAGAGAGAAAGGGGGGGGGGGCAAAAAAAAAAAAAGCTAGAAACAGACAGCATAATTCTCAGGGCATACTTTAAAATGTAAAAATCCTCTGTCCCTTCATTTCCTACCACACAGCTACCAATATCCTAAAGGGACAGGTGCCCAAAGTCAGTTACCCCGTTTGGCTCATGTAATTCCATGGATGCTGAACTGCTTCCACTGACTGCATGCTTGGTCTCTTTGTTCCTCATCTCAGGGATTAACTCCAGGATTAGTTAGTTATAACCCCTGCTAAAGACAGAAGGAATTAATCACCAGTTGATCCATTTGTTAAAAAGCTGCTTTCCCAAGCAAGGTAGAGCTAAACAAAAAGTAGTGAGGCACTGGCACAGGTTGCCCAAGGAGGCTGTGGATGCCCCATCCCTGCAGGCATTCAAGGCCAGGCTGGATGTGGCTCTGGGCAGCCTGGGCTGCTGGTTGGTGACCTGCACACAGCAGGAACAGGTTGGAACTGGATGAGCACTGTGCTCCTTTGCAACCCAGGCCAGCCTATGGTTGTATGATCAACGTGACCAGGTTCAATACTGCACAGCTGCTCATTTGATTCAGTCCAAAAGAGAAGTGGCTCATACATTTCCCTGCCTCTAGTAAGGAAGTAATAGTTGAAAAGCTGAGCTTTGTTCCCCCTCCAAGCAGTGTCTTGTCACTGCCCACCTTTGGCCATTTAAGCTCAGTGAAGCTGAGCTGTTATTGGAACGTGAAAAACAGCAGAGCTGCTCAAGTGGTGTTTTGAGCTGCTTTGAAAAACCAAGTTCAGCTGCTCAGGACACTGCAGCCAAATTTATTCTCTTATCAGCAGAACTGGGAGAAGATGCTTTGTTTAATGAAAGCTCATGTGCTCCCTGGAATTGCTCTAGTTCTCCAGATTGGGATTGAAAAGGTCACAATGATCCCTTGCTACATACAAAGTTGCCAACCACCAGACCAGGCTGCAAGAACAATTGTAGGACTCAAGACATTGCTTTTTTGTATTTAGGAACTGAAGGAGAGATTTTAGTCTACAGGGCTAAGTCCTTTCTGTAGCAGTTGTCAGCACATCCCATCTTCCCAATACCTCTTAACGTGAAAAACTCTATCCTCCAAAGTTTAAAGGACAAAGAAACCTGAGCAAAGAGTAAATCTGAATCTATTCCAGTCAGTACTGCTCAATTAGAGCTCAATTAGAGGGACACAGCCACAATATGACCTCAGCTAGAGGTGGCCCATCCTGAGTGAGCTCTGAGAGGTGAACCACGTTACCACAGAGCCTGTCACAACCAGCTACAGAACACTTAGAAAGCCTTGAAGTGAATCTGTCAGGAAATACGACGACGTGGCCAAGGGGGAGAAAAACCCTTCAGCATTTCAGCCTCTCTTCTTCATAAAGAAATGACTGCAAGAACATTTGCCACTTGCATGTGGTGTGAACAGCTTATTAGCTGCACCACGGCTGCCTCAGGATCTTGTCCACGCACCACAGCATGAAGGTTCAGGAGCTACAGAGGTGCTGAGCACTTCCTTGTGTACAGCTAAGCTATCTGTCTTTTCCTCCTGCTTAATTAACTCGTAAATCCATGCAATTAAGCATCTGAGCACACAGGCACCCTTTTAATCTAACGCTCCAGTTTTTCTACTGTTCACACTCTCTGGTGTTACTAATTGCCTTTTTTTTTTTTAATGAACATAATTGGAGCCAAGCACGTGTTTTTCATTAAGGCCCATTCACCAGCTTCGTAAGCTTTAGCTACTCATTTCATCCAAAAGCTAAAAATAAAAACCATTTCTTCCCCCCCAGAAAAAGCAGTTCTGACAGCTGAAGAAGTTTTTCTCATTTTGCAGCTTTCAAGAGGAAGGACTGAACTGGGAGATGGTCTCAATCTCCATGCTGCAAACCTGTTGGTGTTGTACCACCAGAATAACTCCAGACTGTAGCATCACCAGGACCTGCTTCTTTCTTTGAGAAATTAAAACAAAAGTCATTACAATCTGTTTTCCATATTCACAATCTGACAAAAAATAAAAAAAACATTGAGCCACATGTGCAAGCTGTGAGGTTCTACTACAAAAACACCATCTAATGAAGAAAAGTCTTCAAAATGTGGGATTTATGTGAGCAGATGCAAACCTTTACAGCAAACACTTCCCTGTTCTCTTTATGGTCAATGGACAGAAGCAGGCAGGCAGCAATTCATTTCCTCCCAACATATACGTCCTGTCAGATGAATCACAGCTCAGCTTGTGCCCTGCACCTCTCTTCTGCTTCTAGGAGGAACGTGCTCACAAAAACCATCTTTGGGAAGAGTTTATAGGCTGGTTGTTCAGGCCTGGACTCCTGGAAGAGGTGGCAAACCAGACTTCCCAGTAGGAGAAATAGCACAGCTGTCAAACAGAGACTGGAGGTGATTAGCAAGGAATAAATGCTACCATCAGTCTTTTGAGTGAGGTGTCACAGGGAAGCAGCAATAGAGAAAGCAGATCTGTAAGGAAACCTGACTTCATGCACGAGGTAACAGGGAGGATCTGGGTCTGCACAGAACTTTGCCTCAGTTCCCAAGGAATTTTCCCACTAGGAGGGAAGCAGGTAGAAAGGCCAGCAGTTGTGAACATCAATTTCTTCATCAGGCAGTACTGCGTTGCCTCATTGCAGCATGCAGAACCCACTGATACGTATTAGCAGCAGGGCTGCTGTCCATCAAGTCCAAAACCAACTGTTTCTTCTTCTGCATTGTGACTCACAAGCAAATAAGGGAAGAAAAAAGAAATGCATGACCAGCACACATTTTCTTCTGTTTAACCAAGGTTTAACATCAGTTAGTATAAGAGTTTTCTTCCCATGGCCCAACAACCCCTCTGGTTGTTTCGTACAGAAGGCACAAGTCTGGTAGGCAGCCTTTAGTTGCAGTATTTCAAAGAGTCAAGAAGCAGCACACCAATTTTAAGAGAGCTCGTAAAAATAACGACAACCCAGAGTTAACTTTTCCTACCTTCCCTTCAGGTTTAAGGCCACCCCTTCCCGCAGACAACAGTGACACCTACTGCCAACGCTACCAAACGACAACTTCCACAGCACGAAGCCAAATGTTTTCCCCATTGCCTCTGACAGCACGCACAGATTTGCTTCTAAAGGATCTCGTTTGCCTGCTGCTATTGCTACAGAACCAGAGCTCACAATCTGCCTTTTAAGACACCTTTTGAACGCAGCTTACTCCTCAAATCCAACTGCAGAGTTTACAAACTCTCTGTTATACCTCCCCACAGCTGATATTCTTGAACTACTGTATTAAAACAGGTCTGAACAAGGCCGTTTTGGCAACATTCATACCCTCATCCCATGTTTTTCCACCAGCAGAGAGTCATCAATCAACAGTGGGCAGGTATAGCACTGGTTCTATACTGCACACCAGAATAACTGCATCTCGAGCAGCTATCTTCTGGATTACATGGGAGGATTATGCAAAACACAGGTTCAGTTGGGTAGTTCAACAGAAACAAAGCAGCTGTGCAGCTATTTTGTCCCAACTGTGGCATCAACCAAGAAAGTTTTAGCAAGGTGCTTCGATGTCATTCTTTAAATCCCTTTAGAACAGTTTTCATTTTGTTGAGGAAAATGAAGGGCTTTCCATAGAAACTCCCTACCAGAGAAGCTTCATGATTTCAATGCTTGCAAGGCAGTCCACAGGCAAGCTCTGCAGGCAGTTCAACATCACTGTGCTCAAGTGTTCATCAGCAGCAGCAAGGACAGCAAGAAAGATGCATCAAGGCTCATCTCCTCGCCACCAGCAGTACATCCACCCTGCCCAGATAACCCCTAACACATCTAAGCCAAAGAAGATGGATTCCATACTTGGAAAAGCTCTTTCTATATGCTTTGAAAAAGCTAAAATGGCTTGATAGAGTATTTTCAACATCCTTACCTAAGCAAAGAGAAGACATCGTAAGAGTTACGAACGCAGTTCTGATCCACCTGGAGGAGGCTGTTCTTCAGGGTACCTGAGTGATCCTTAAGGCAAAGAAAGAACAGTCAGACATCAAAAATGCTTCCATCTGGACTACAAGCTTGTCTTATCAACGCACATCAGATAATCCTGAATTTAATGTTTTAAATGCACCTTCATACAAGCTTACATTCTGTTGGTAGAACTGATTCGAGAAGGCAACAGTGGCAGCTCAAGCCTGGACTGCAACTACACTTAGCTACACAATGATACAGGTCATTAACACAGTGTCATTAACATAGTTTTCTAGACACAGTGTATTTTTTTTTGACTGATGAAGCCCTCCCTTCACTTAAAAGATGCTTAAAAGATCAAATCTGAAGTTTTTCAGATACAGAATGCTTTCTGGAAGTTACAGTAACTCTGTGTCATTCTTAAGAGAGCAACAAAGGCAGAACAACACAGTCCAACAGGCAATTCTTCACCCTGGAAAGGTGTGATAGCAAACTTCTCCCTATCAGGTATAGCCACACAAGTGCTGTGAAATGGCACAATGGCTCTGAGCTGTTTCTTCACAGGACAAAGCAAGCTGTAAACAGGTCCAACAATCCAGCAGCACTGCCAGAAACTTGAAAGACTGCAGGAAAAAAAAGTCATGAATATTCATTTCAGTAGAGAAAGTATGCTAAAATAGGTGATACAACTGCAAGAAGCCCTATTTATATATTCTCTACCTGCCTCAACAGGCTGTTCTCATACGGAAGGTGTTGAAATGCAGTTGAGTTTCAACACCTACAGAGCTGCAAGAGCCACAGGCCACGCAGCAGCATCTACATAATCTGAAGACCTGCGTGTTACATTAAGCACCACACTGCAACAGAGGCACCCTATCACAGAATCACAGAATCACAGAATCACCCGGGTTGGAAGGGACCTCAAGGATCATGTAGTTCCAACCCCAATCACCTATCAGCAACCAACCCTATCAGCAGCCTCCTCTGCTCCTCATTCCCATTCTCAAGACTTTTGATACCACATGTTGAAATCTGTATTCACAGCCCCAGAAAAAAAAGAAAAAAAAAAACAGAAGAAAGATGGCTTAATCCCTGAATCAGGTAGGTGGAAAACTGGAAGCGTTTTGCAACCACAAAGTTGATTTTGTTTCAAGAAACAGTGCCTTCCAAAAGCAAGGCACACAGCTCTCCAGAGAACAAGTGAAGCAGCCTGGGATCACCTGGCTGCAGGATGAGAAGAGCTCAGCCCAGTAGCACGTTGTAGCCTTCTCTTTTCCCCCCATAACACAGAAAGATTGAATAGAAATGCCCAATAACACAGACAGAGTGCTCTACACAACCTGCTCTACTCTGAGGTAATTTGCAGGACACAGAATAGTCAGAATCCTTAAAGCTGGAAGGGACCTATGAAGGCCATCTGGTCCAATTCCCCTGCAGTGAACAGGGACACACACAGCTCCATCAGGTGCTCAGAGCCTCCAAATGTCTCCAGGGTTGGGGCACCCACCACATCTCTGGGCAAAGGAAAGGTTTCAAGCTTAGTTACTGAATAGGCTTGCTCTTCAGAAGCAGAGTTGTCTGCTTCTCTGCTGCAGTACATATTACAGATATAGGCACAAGTACTTACAACAAGCACACAAAGGCTTTATTTCTGTAACATGGCTGAGATCCAGCTGCATTAGGGGGAAGAAAAAGGTAGATGCAGGGTTTGTACCTTGCTGATGTAGATTATGTACTCTAAAGAGAGAAAGTCTTACTGCTTGATCGTTGGAAAGAGAGCTGCAGCTCAGTAAAGCCTGAAGAAAATAACTCAGTCTTCTGTCCATCTTATCCCTCAGCACTGCTAAATGCTTTGAGTTACCTAGAGCTTTGAGTTACTAGCTCTCCTATTATTTCTTTAAGGAATCAACAGCAAGTTGGTCACTGAGGGAAAGCCAACCCCACTTCCCTGACGCTCTTGTTGAAAAGCTATGACTGCAAGAACAAAGGGAAAGTGTTAAGGGTCAGTTAGCAACAAGAACCCAAGGGTTGGAAAAAAGTCTGAAAGCCAGGAAGGCAGAGGAGAAAGATGGTTTTAAGAAAGTCACTGCAATGCTATCAAAACAACCAACCAAAGCCTCGAACAGCAGCAGAAGTTGGGAGTACAACTCTGTGGAGAATCAGTGAGCAGGGACAAAGCAGCCTGCAGAGCACATCTGTTCTGACACTGAGCTGTAAGCCTCACATTTCTCTACCAATGCAGTGCTACAGCTTTCTGTTTCCCCAAGTTACAGCACGGAAGATTCGTACAGGGCAAGAATTCTGAGCACAAAGATGTATTTTGAAGGTTACTTTGCAGGAAAGAGGGCTGGAAGGTTCTAAAACAACAGCTGACGTGCATCACGTAGCAAAGATGTAAATTTCCAGTGCTTTGAGTTCAAAGCTGTCCATTGAGCTCATGTGGGCACACTGTTCTTACTGTTTGTGTCTATCAATTTGATCAGCAAGCTGCCAGCTTTAATCAAGAAAAACAATCGTGGCAGCACTTAATGTTCCTGTCCTACTTCAGATTGCTCTGCAGCAGTAGATTCCAGGCTCCCACCTCTTTTGTCACAGAGGAGTTGGCAAGATAGGAGATGGGAGCATGCATCTCATGGATCACCTGTAAATCTATAACATGTTTTGAAACAGAGTTGGATAAGAAGTCTCCAGAATGTTTCATTCCAACAGTTCCCTTCCTTTGGCTCAGCAGACTTCTTTAATGAAAAGGACATTCAGAATCATAAATATTTATTCTCCCCTTTAATAAAATGCATATTATTGTAAGAATTTATAGATCTAGCCTGGCTGTTTCAACAGCAGTTCAAAGGATCGTTAAATAAATAGGGATTCTTTGAAGCAAAATGGGAGAAACTGAGTTAGGAGAACACTACTATCATGATTCCTAAGGAGATGTGTACTAAGAGGACACTGCCAGCACTGAGTGCTGCAAGGGGTTTGCAACAGACCTGCAGAATGGCATCTGGACACATCTGCAGTCAGAAGGCTTTGTAAGCTCTGGTGTAAGTGAACAAGAAGATAAAAATGAAGAAGCACCCTCAGAAATCAGAGAACACTGACGTTGCCAAAGGGAAAAGGTATCACATGCAGATTCTACAGGAACAGGAACAGGCTCCTGACAAAAAGCATCCCTTCCTAAAGGTTTTAGGTAGTGCTTGGTAATAGCTAGTACACCCACCAAAGTGAGGCTGCTTCATATTCAGAATATCTAGCATTAAAACTAGGGATTAACTGTTAAGAACAGAAATATTCCTCAGGTACACACAGCTTCTGAATGCTACAGGAAGAGTCAATGCCAATTAGTTTGGCTTGAACTGCAGACAAGTGAGTTGCATACAGGAGGTGTGTATTATACAGCATAGTTTGGTTGAGGAGCTGACCAGAAGAAATCAGAGCAGGGCAACAAAAGCTTTAGCTCTTGCAACAAGAATAAACTACAAGGAAGGACAACAAAAATAAAGAGAAAAATGCTTTTTTTTTTTTTAATTAAAAAAAAAAAGAGACCAAAATTGGTCTCATCACTTTCAAGATGCTTTAAATTTGAATGAAATGCCTGCCTCGAGGGACAGAGCATCAAAGCTTATTTGCAGTAACCAGGACTCCTTAGGTCTTTGGTAAGCTCTAAGTCTTGCATGAACAGCTCAAATGTACAAGCAACAGAAGCAGCAGTCCCAATGCATCGTGTCAAGAAAATATTCCTTCTCAAAACCAAGATACTTTAATGTTTCGAGCATCCAAGCATGAAAATTTCAGTCCAGAAATTGAATTTCAGCTCATCACCAGTACTGACAAGCTGAACAAGTAAATGATATCCTCACCTTCTGCTCATACGAAGCTCCATAATAACCATCATTGAGACCAAAAATAATCTCGTTTGGGTTTCTTGCATGTATCTGTAAGAAAAGAAAAGAAATGATTTTAAGGCCAACTTCTTATGGCTCTGCACTGCAGCTGAGCATAAACCTTGATGATGAAACACAGTTTTTCAGCTCAGTTTTTCCAGTTCAGAAGAAGAAACCTGACAGCAAACTGAATTTAACCACAGAAAAAGCATTTATATCACATCCTTCACAACTGCTGCTGAGTACGTTCAGCCACGTCCCTTGGAAGGTGGGAGGTGGTGTGGATCTGCCTGAGGGTAGGGAGGCCCTTCAGAGGGATTTAGACAGGTTGAACCGCTGGGTTGAGGTGAATGGGATGAGGTTCAACAAGGCCGAGTGCCGGGTCCAAGTGTTGTTTGGCCACAACAACCCCATGCAGCATTATAGGCTTGGGGATGAGTGGTTGGATGAGTGTGGAGAAGAGAAGGACCTGGGGGTGTTGGTTGGTGCTGGGCTGAACAGGAGCCAGCAGTGTGCCCAGGTGGGCAAGAGGGCCAACAGCAGCCTGGGCTGCATGAGGAATGGCCAGCAGAGCAGGGAGGGGAGCATCCCCTGCACTCAGCTCTGTGAGGCCGCACCTCGAGTGCTGGGTTCAGATTTGGGCTCCTCACTGCAGGAAAGATGTTGAGGCCCTGCAGCGTGCAGAGAAGGGCAGCGAAACGGGGAGGGGTGTGGAGCACAGGGCTGATGAGGAGCGGCTGAGGGAGCTGGGATTGGTGAGGGTGAGAAGAGGAGCTCAGGGCAGACCTGACTGCACTCTGCAACTGCATGGAGGGAGGCTGTGGTGTCAAAGGGCCTGGCCTCTTCTCCCAGGCAACAAACAGGACACAGGGCAATGGCTGCAAGTTGTAGCAGAGATTTAGGTTGGACATAAGGCAGAACTGTTTCTATCAGAGAGTGGTCAGGCACTGCAATGGCTGCACAGGGAGGTGGTGGAGGCACCATCCCTGGCAGCGTTCAAGAGGCAACAGGATGAGGAGCTGCGAGATGTGGTTCAGTGCTGGTGGTGGCAATGGTGATGAGATGGTTGGACTGGATGATCTTACAGGTCACTTCAAACCATGAGAACCAGGATTCTAGGATTCTAGGATTCTAGGATTCTAGGATTCTAGGATTC